AGACGACGGCGGATTCCTTTTGACCAGCTGTCGATTGGCTTTACTGGAAGATTCATGCTGACGCTGTTTCTAAAGCAACCTCCTTCGATTCCGGTGAAAAAGTGCTAAGCTTTCGTCCGTCATATGACGGACGTCATCAGAGCGAGGTAACATCGTCACGACCAAATTCAAGCTAACGAGTCAAGAAAACTCACTTCTGGTGGAACCGACCTTCGAATCTCTTCACCCAACACTTCTACTCGAAATGGAAGTAATCCCAACAACTAGTGGTGGAACCGACCTTCGAATCTCTTCACCCAACACTTTCACTCGAAATGAAAGTAAGCTCAACAATTATTACTTTCAATTAACTCTTTGATCTTACGTTCAGCTATGAAGTTCCCATCTCCGGCAAAACGTTGGGATCTAGACCTGTAGCGACTACATCTTCAGACACTTCCGTTTTCTGAATGCATAAACCTTTGCGGGCGTTTCTGTGTTCTGATAGCCTCTTATGTATGGGTCGACAAGTCTCCCCCACATAAACACTAGCGCATGAACACAAAACCTTGTAACAACTTGATTTGCAGAGGGCGTCAGAAGATTCTCTAAAAGAAGGCACGATCGAGGAAAGCGTTATTGTTTCTTTATACCTGGTCTTGACACTCTATTTCCTCACTAAATCGCCTATCTTTCTTGAAAGCCTGTAGGGTGGTAGCATTTGGAACCTGGACGAAGAGTTGTCCAATCTCCTGTTTTAGCCAAAAGAGTGGTTTTACTCCACCATATTTCTCAATATTTTAAAATTGGCAACAATTAGTCCAACAGGATAGTTGATCTTAACTAAGATTTTTCTTAGCCTTTCTAACTCCTGTTCTTGATGATTTACGTCCGCTAGGAATAAATTCCTTATTATCATTAATTTCATTACGTCTACGTTAACACCATAGGCATGATTTGAGAAGAAATTAAGAAGGAAACCAGCATTTGTGGGTCGCCTATATACATCTCTACCCAGTTTTCTCCCTTTCTTAATAATTAGGGCATCTAAAAATGATAACTTATTGTCATTTTATAACTCTATAGTAAATTTAGCCGCCTCTACTCTATTCATTGAACCAATAAAGTCCTCCAAACAATATTTCCATGCTGCCAGATAGCAAACGAATCATCCACAATCTGACGAATAGTTTGGGAACTAGAAGTGACTCTTGAAAAAGCCCGACTTTTATTGAGCCATGCAGTTATTAGCTAAAACTGTATATCAGCTGGCTACCATTCTCGGTTTGTGCTTTTTGGTGATTTTTAGTGAATAAAGGTTTATGACTCTGACGATGTCTGTCACAGGACGGATGAAAGCTCAGTCCATGGAGGTCATAGGACGACGAACTGAGGTTTTCTTCACACAGTTAAACGGATAAAAGTCCAAAGCCTCCTGCGATATTCGGTATCTACGAATACCTTCGACCCACATTCTCAAATGAAATGAAAGGTACGCCAGTATCAATCCATTAAAGGATTCTTCGAAACCCAGCTTATCTTCATATACTTTTTACTTTTTCTTTTTCCTTGGGTCATTAAATCTTGATGACCGTATACAGATGTTAAGACTTTTTCTAATTATTCTGAGTTATGACCGAGAACACTCAATTGTCAGTACTTGCATCACTTTAAGCGAATTAGGCTGAATAAATTCGTATTCATTAATTAGTAACAATTCAAAACCTTACTTAAATTGAAAATACAGTTTGTATTCCCGATTAGGAAATCATCTTGACACCCAAAACGAATACAAGTGCGTTCTTCTCTTTGATTTCTCTTATTCTGTTTAGTAATACAGAATCAGCTCAGATCTTCTGCAGCAGGCTTCTTAGAATCAGATCACCACAAGCTCATCCCGACAATCATAAGGCCTGTGTTTGCTCGAGTCTGCGAGACCGAATCATGTATTTATGCTACCAACTCAAATCTGAACAAAAACAGGAATTAAGAGCATTGGGAAAGTGATAAAGAAATATGAAATGGTGCTTGTCCTGGCAGTTGTTTTAGCGCAAATGCAGCTGAATAAGCAAATGTTGCCAAGCTAACTATCCTTGATTAAATTGAGCAAAAGTGACTGTTGGCAATCGAGTTATGAGGGGCGGAAGTGAAGAGGCTGGGCACTTTCACCAACCACAGCTGCATTCGCACAGCGCCACAGTCTCCTCCAAAATGAACGCAGAAGAATAGGTCGGAGGAAGCGAAAAGATGCACTCCCTAGCGACGACTGAAACTGCCTCCGCAAAGCTTAAACCAAAGGGCTCTAACGCTCGAGTTGAGGGTAGACAAATCTTCTGCTTTAGGGTCCATGAAGTTGGTACTCGGACTGAACAGCAAGACGCACTGTCTGCCGCCTCCGGGACTGCAAAGACGTTTGACGAGGAGCGGAAATAAGCAGATTCATCCGACACACATGGAAAGTCTGTGCATACTCATTGCAGACACGGTATTGCTGCTACAGACCAAAATGTATGCGAAATATGTTGTCTGCCCACTCAACAGAAGACCGAATTGACAAAGCAAACTATACAATCATACACAAACACACAAATAAACACGTATACATAAGCTCCTTTCACACTTTTGTATGAGCACTAAACAGAATAGCAAGGGCTACACATTAATTTTGGGGGAAAATGGAATTAAATCGAGATTTAGTTGGTTGGTTACATGGACTCTTGGATGGATGGATGGATGGATGGATGCGTGTGTCCATCTATATTTGTTTGATCCTTTACACTTGGAGTTAGACGAAATATGCAGCGTTATGACGAGAAATGTGGTTTGAAATGAAGATCTGGCGAAAAAGGGAGGCCGATTTTGCTGGAGGACAACGTTATGGATGCATCAAGGAGTGTCGAGTCTCTGGCGGATGGTCCGACTCCAGGAGCTTCCGACTGGCAACAGCCGAACTCACCTTATCCTCCTTTTTTGGTAAGGTAATGGATAATAATATTAATATTTATTAAATATATAAATGTATAATATATAATGATGTATGATATACT